GGGTCGCATCTTGGCATTTCTAGACCGACCACTTGATCTTTTAACGATCGCAACTTGGTCTTTTAATACCTGAAACTTCTCTTTTACTGCCTGCAGCTTTTAACGATCGCAACTTGGTCTCTTAACGCCTGCAATTTAGTATTTTAACGCCTGTAATTTGAACTATTAACGTCAGCAATTTGGTCTTTTAAAACCCGAAATTTGGTCTTTTAACGCCTGTAATTAAGTCTAATAACGCCTGTAATTTGGTCTATTAATGACTGCAACTTGGCAGGCCTATATTACACGCATCAAACTTCAGGTCGGCAAATAAACCTACCTGTGAGAATACGCTGAAATCTGTCCACCCACATCCCACCGTATCTAGTTCACGCGCCCCTAAGTTAAACACCAACACATTAGAAATTCTTATATCAGTCCGCCCACTATCGAAGATTTATTTCTAAGGGAAGCAATTTTTGAATACCTTTGCCGACCAAGAGAACACACACAAAAAATGAATGGTAAAATAGGAGTGGTCGGACCTGATAGAAACTAAAACAACAGAAAAATGGAATGTTTGCGTCTGATGAAAACATTGCAGGATGATGCGTGTGACAGATGGGAGGCTCGTCAGGTGGAATGTGCGGCAATAATTTTATGAAGGTACAACAACAGGTGTGCACTTACCTGCACACACACAGTAGGTACACACCTAGGGCTACATTGAACATGAAAATGGTTGAGTAGTGTTGGACTTATTTTCTGTGTAGCACAATAAAGTTAAACGGGTTAGGTTTGGGTTCAGAGTTTCTTTAGTTTCCGCCCTCCCTAAAATTTAGTCCGCCATCCCCCTTCCCAAAAATTTCAAATGCCCCCCCCCCCCCCAACCCCGTTCAGAGAAAAAATGCTGAAAGAAACACTGTTTGGGTTATGTGTTAAACTGCTGTAAATGATTTTGTGTCTAATGTTGTAACCGAAAAATGTACTCTCTACCTCGGTGCATAAATGTCATTTAAAGCGATTTGTAAAATATTTGGTGCCATATTATGTTGGCCTACTTAATTAGCCTTCGCTCGTATATTATCACTAACATTTTCTAGTACATGAAGCAGGTCAAGTAGAGTTCACCTGTTTCAGCGACCTCGGCATATGAAGGTAGTGTGGTCAGCACTATACCCAGCCGTTTTTACTTTCCCTAATGTGACACTGAGGTGTCCTACGCAGTGTTTCTTCCAGACTTTTTTTCTCCGGGGGACCTTGAAATTTTCGGGGGGTGGGGGGGGGGGGGTGGAGGCGGACACTGTTAAAAGTATATATTTTCTATATATATTCCATTTCGTTATTATTTCGTTCGGGGGGGGGGGCGGTATACTTTCTTTGGGGGCTGGGAGTGGGCGCTCCGTCGTCCACCCCCCCCCCCCGAAGAAATGCCTGAAAGAAACTCTGGTCCTACAAATTCGAGCCCGGGATCCGAACTTGAGACTTTCGGGATCGCACGTGGATTGGCAAATTTACATTGTGCTTTCTTTTGACTTGTTTTTTTTTTTAGTTGAATCAATTCACAAAGTCTCTAGCATTTTATTGATCTACTTTGATTCAACATCGATATTGAGACAAAACCCCTACCCAACCTGTCTAAACTTTAATCATAACGGAAAAGCCTCATTTTCAGTTTCAGGAATCGCTAGGAACCAGTTTTGAAATTTAAAAGACAATTGAAAGAGACACATTATGTTTTGAAATTAAAATTTTCTCAATCATTTTGAAAAGTTTGCCGAGAAACAAATAGAAAAAAAAACCCAATGACGCAGTTCTTGGCAAATTAAAAACAGGACCAGGAAGCAGAATGTAACAAAACAATTTCAGATACAGAGACCACCAGGAAGAATATTTTGGAACCAGGAACGTTTTTGACTGGAAGTTTTAGCTATGCTTACCTTAAGTGTCTACACGATTTAAATTTTAATAAACAAAACTTTTGATCGACTTAACAATAGACAATAGACCAGTCAAAAGGGGCCTAGATCTTATATATATATTTTAAAAAAATGTCAATGCAGGTTTCTTTGAAAAATAAATTTTACTTCCTGTTAACCAGAATATTTTTAATGTTGTTGAAAACGTCTTGTGCAATTGTCAATTGCACTTAGAATCTTAGATTATATTATTAAAAATTTAAAACAAAATAAAATGAAATCGTGCTGCGAACATTTCAACATATCTCTAGTGGAAGTTCCTGTTTCAGTGAAACAATTTTTTTTGTACGAAACTTGCAAAACTCCAACGTTATCATATCCTCTTACAAAGTAGGATGTGAAGACAGAGCACTTTATTCTTTATTTCATTAACTGGCGAGGCATCTCCCCTCCCCATCGTATTTTAACCAAGTTTAAAATGCATTTGCGAATTTCATGGAAGTAAAAACTCAAAAAACAAATTCAAATAGTTTTAAATCTTGTTTTCTAGTCATGTGTTTAAAAAAAAATCTCCACTGTAATCTATCGTGATTTGGGGGAGGGGGATAGGGGTTTGGCTTATTGTGATGACGTGTGACAATAGGAAATGGGCGTACCGGAGGGGATGGGGGGGGGGGGCTGGAAAAAGAAATTATCTTTAAAAAACGTCACGTTAAGAACTGAAGATCAATAACATTGGTAGATATTGACATGGTACACTAAACCAAATGAGCCAACCTGCACCAAACCAAAGGAACCAACCTGCACCTAACCAAAGGAGCCAACCTGCACCTAACCAAAGGAGCCAACTTGCACCTAACCAAAGGAGCCAAACCGCACCTAACTAAAGGGGCCAACCTGCACCGAACCAAAGGAGCCAAACCGCACCTAACTAAAGGGGCCAACCTGCACCTAACCAAAGGAGCCAACCGGCACCTAACGATAGCTCACCTCGCGGACAGTTTGCCTACAGTGATAAAAACAACAACAGACAAATAACAGACAGCAGCACCACTTGTCTGTTAGAGTGGGGGGGGGGGCTAATTGCAGAATGTCGTTAATATATTACGAACGGGAAAATAATTTATAGTTTATGAGCAATGATCAGTACAAACTTATATGACTCACATAGAGTCACAGAGAGAGAGAGAGATAGAAAGAGAGAGAGGGAGAGAGAGAGGGAGAGAGCACGAAAGAGAGAGTATTCTAAAATCATTAGATCCAAAGTTATATTTTGTAATAATGTGCATTTAACATTATTTCCTAAATTAGTAATGTTAATGATTTCAAGAGAAGGATCACTAACTCCCCCCCCCCCCCCCAATCACCGCACATACACACACAGTAATGAGTTATTCATGACTAGGCATGACTACACACTTTGTTGTCATCCAACACACCACTCCATGTGAAGGTGACTCTACTACCACAGTGACATCTACAAGTTGACGTACACCTACACCAGTGGTCAGTTCTGCTTGACACACGGTCAGTTGTTGTCCACGCTACTGAGACATTAGTGTTTCTATGACACTACAGGAGACGTTTCTATTTTTACACCATTGAGCGGACGTCAAGTCTAAGTCACGTGACCGCTGACTCAGCAGGAATCAAAAGACCAATTAGTGTCTCGACTGTTGGAGTGGGCTACACATCTCGGCGCCCAGGGCGGATTCGATTTTGCTTTTGCCCAAACGCCTTTTGATTATATAAAACACAAGGCGTAGAATACATCAAGTAACGACAATTACCATTACCGCACACCATTATTCACCATTACACATTAAAACGTGTACATTTCACTTTGGAAAAAAATTCAACGGTTTGTTTATAGGTGTGTGTGTGCGTGTGTGTATGTGGGGTGGGGGGGGGGGCGGGGGGGGTGTAAAATCGAACTGGTTACATACTCAGAATGCAAATTCATTTGCTACTAATATAGTAAAAAGTGGCAGCCAGTGAAATTATGAAACATAGGCGCAAAAATAAATGCAAAGCATGTTGCAAAATTCTTGTTTAAATTAGCTGCTTGTTTTATACACGCAAACAGACCACTGGAGCAACACAGTTTTATTTTCTCTCAGGAAGATTATATAAAGTTAGAAAAAAAATGAATTTAAAAGATACAAAGATGTGTATCGCGAAACAAATTTACTCTATTGATATGGTGAACTTCTGCTTTCTTAGTTTTAGTGTTGGAAGGGGGTTCCCTTCCAACACAATTAAGTAAGCGTGTCAATTGGTTATAGCCTTTGTCCAACCAAGAACAAGCTACAGGGCAGCAGCTGTTTGATTTTGGAGGCTAACGAGGGTTCGAACTCGAGACTTTTCGGTGCAGCTTTACCGACTCGACCACGCCGACCCACTATTTGGTGAACGATACAGACGTATATTAAAATATTGACGGAAGAAGCATTTAAAAACATACACATACTGCAGCAGTGAGCATATAAACAAAAGGCATATACATATTCATATAGGGACCTTAAGTAAATATTACCTACCCTACCCTACCATAAATTTGACTACTTATTTATATCCTCCCAATTGGGTAAAACATGCTGTTTTAATAGTCTCTGGCAGATAAGGCTCGATCCCTTGCAACACTAAAAAATTAAGAACGAAGAAGAAGAAGAAGGATAGTCCTCACATTGAAAGGGAACCTTCTTCTTCTTCTTCTTCTTCGTTCTTAATTATTAGTGTTGAAGGGGATCGAGAATTATCTGCCAGTGCGAACTCGAGACTTTTCGGTTTAGCAACCATGAGCTTTACCGACTCGACCACGCCGACCCCCGAAAGGGCACCAATTCATAAAATAATAGGACGGAGAGGTCGAACGGTGGACTGCTAACCCGTAAGTCTCGAGTTCAGATCCCAGCTCAATTAAGGGAAAGTAAAGGCGGCTGGGCATAGCGCTTACCACACTATTCGTTCATATGCCATAAATGTCACTGAAACAGGTGAGCTCTACTCCATCTGCGCCATGGACCGTAAGGGTACTTTACTGATTTTTAAACTATATATAACAATACATTATTTATAGTCCTAAACAAACACACACTGTACCTGGTGTCTGGGCCTCCCCACAATGGAGGGGAACACCGCCCTAGGGGCGTCGTCCCCAGCGAATCCAGCCTTGCACATTCCTGAACCATTGTCGATGACCAGAGCAGCAATATCGTCGTCACACATCTTGAGGGGTCAGAGTTCAAATCCTCGCTGGCACAAATACGGTACTTTAAAGCAAAATATTTAGAAAGAAAAAAAACCTTCCAAAATAAACGAATAAACTTATGAGTACAGTAAATGCAGGTCTCGCTGGAATTTGCGCAGAATCAGACGCGGGGGGAGCTTTTATATTGTATAGACTAAGGTCGAAGTTAAGAGTTCAATCAATGATGCCGAGCACCATCTACACAGCGACGCGGTAGGTGTGTCTCCCCGCTCTGGAACCACGTGGTACCGGCAGACGACAGCCGCTCACACAAGACAACGCTGATGTTCCGCGCGGTTAGTTTTTTTGTAACGTGACGTATGTCAGACGTCTGCAATAATTGCTGTTACAGAACACCTGTCCGACGAAACTAAGGCTCACCGCGACGTCTGCCTTAAAAGGAGAAGCGATATCGATCGGGTGAGCCAGATTTGGAACTGACGTCTGCTGGTGCTGGAACACACATTCTGTGGCTCAATTAGGAACGAAGCCTGCTGCAGAAACCACAACTTTTTATTTATTTTTAGATTTTTCACATTCGAGACATTGAACAATTTTTTGTAGCTAACGTTAAACCTATTGAAAGTGTAGAGTTCTTACAATGTTTGCAAACTGTTTCTATTATGGGTCTCCCCGCTTACGCCCCCCTCCCCCTCCTTCTCCCGATCCAAAAAAGTGAAACAATAAATTATTTAACCATTGTCTATACCTCCTCAAGAGAAAAATGTCTGAAAGCAGCCCTGATTATAAAAACATAGAACCTTGCTTTTATCATCTGAACCAAGAATACAAAAACAATGTAGCCTTCTTTCTTGGTGTTATCATTTGTACTTCAATTTTGGTGAATATGGATAGTTATTTAATTGGTAAAATAATTATTGTCTTTTTAAACTATCACTTCACACTAAACTTGCCTTCAACAGATACTCTAAACACAACACAGCTGACACTAAGATCCACATCAAACAAAACATGCATACAGCAGATAAAGATCCATATGAAACAAAACATGCATACAGCAGATACTAAGATCCAGATCACAGTAAACATGCATACAGCAGATAAAGATCCACATCACAGTAGACATGACTACAGCAGATAAAGATCCACATCAAACAAAACATGCATACAGCAGATACTAAGATCCAGATCACAGTAAACATGCATACAGCAGATAAAGATCCAGATCACAGTAAACATGCATACAGCAGATAAAGATCCAGATCACACTAAACATGACTACAGCAGATAAAGATCCACATCAAACAAAACATGCATACAGCAGATAAAGATCCACATCAAACAAAACATGCATACAGCAGATAAAGATCCACATCACACTAAACGTGACTACAGCAGATAAAGATCTACAGCAGATAAAGATCCACATCACACAAAACATGCATACAGCAGATACTAAGATCCACATCACACTAAACATGACAGATAAAGATCCACATCACACAAAACATGACTACAGCAGATAAAGATCCACATCACACTAAACATGACTACAGTAGATAAAGATCCACATCACAGTAAACATGACTACAGCAGATAAAGATCCACATCACAGTAGACATGACAACAGCAGATAAAGATCCACATCACACTAAACATGACTACAGCAGATAAAGATCCACATCACACTAAACATGACTACAGCAGATAAAGATCCACATCACACTAAACATGACTACAGCAGATAAAGATCCACATCACACTAAACATGACTACAGCAGATAAAGATCCACATCACAGTAAACATGACTACAGCAGATACTAAGATCCACATCACACTAAACATGACTACAGCAGATAAAGATCCACATCACAGTAAACATGACTACAGCAGATACTAAGATCCACATCACACTAAACATGACTACAGCAGATAAAGATCCACATCACACTAAACATGACTACAGTAGATAAAGATCCACATCACAGTAAACATGACTACAGCAGATAAAGATCCACATCACACTAAACATGACTACAGCAGATAAAGATCTACAGCAGATAAAGATCCACATCACACAAAACATGACTACAGCAGATACTAAGATCCACATCACACTAAACATGACTACAGTAGATAAAGATCTACATCACAGTAAACATGACTACAGCAGATAAAGATCCACATCACAGTAGACATGACAACAGCAGATAAAGATCCACATCACACTAAACATGACTACAGCAGATACTAAGATCCACAACACACTAAACATGACTACAGCAGATAAAGATCCACATCACAGTAGACATGACTACAGCAGATAAAGATCCACATCACACTAAACATGACTACAGCAGATAAAGATCCACATCACACAAAACATGACTACAGCAGATAAAGATCCACATCACAGTAGACATGACTACAGCAGATAAAGATCCACATCACACTAAACATGACTACAGCAGATAAAGATCCACATCACACTAAACATGACTACAGCAGATAAAGATCCACAACACACTAAACATGACTACAGCAGATAAAGATCCACATCACAGTAGACATGACTACAGCAGATAAAGATCCACATCACAGTAAACATGACTACAGCAGATAAAGATCCACATCACACTAAACATGACTACAGCAGATAAAGATCCACATCACAGTAGACATGACTACAGCAGATAAAGATCCACATCACACTAAACGTGACTACAGCAGATAAAGATCCACATCACACTAAACACAACTACAGCAGATAAAGATCCACATCACACTAAACATGACTACAGCAGATAAAGATCCACATCACACTAAACATGACTACAGCAGATCCTAAGATCCACATCACACTAAACACAACTACAGCAGATAAAGATCCACATCACACTAAACACAACTACAGCAGATAAAGATCCACATCACACTAAACATGACTACAGCAGATAAAGATCCACATCACACTAAACATGACTACAGCAGATCCTAAGATCCACATCACACTAAACATGACTACAGCAGATAAAGATCCACATCACAGTAGACATGACTACAGCAGATAAAGATCCACATCACACTAAACGTGACTACAGCAGATAAAGATCCACATCACACTAAACATGACTACAGCAGATCCTAAGATCCACATCACACTAAACATGACTACAGCAGATAAAGATCCACATCACACTAAACATGACTACAGCAGATAAAGATCCACATCACAGTAGACATGACTACAGCAGATAAAGATCCACATCACAGTAGACATGACTACAGCAGATACTAAGATCCACATCACAGTAAATATGACTACAGCAGATAAAGATCCACATCACACTAAACATGACTAAATCACATACTGTTAAACAAATAATTTAGACAGAGCTCAGTAGATCACGACACATGAAAGAAAATGTAAAACTTAACAGCATGTTTTAAAGCAGCAAAAGTGACCAGTACTAACCCAGTAAATGCAGCAAAGTTTACCTTAACTGCCAGTTGCAAACATTTTTTTTCAAACAGTGAACATAACAATAAACCAACAATTAAATAAGTTTATTGAACAGTTTGTATGTACAACAATCAACAATAGGACTGGAACATTTTTTTCATAGAAAATAAAGAATGCTTTCAAACCTAAAAATATCCTTCATTTTATTAAAAGATTAAGAGAACATTTTTCTGTCAGTTAAAATACTTTTTAAAAAATTAAAATTATGAAAGTAGTTACAAATGATAATTTGTAGCTATCTGTGATCAAGAACAAAGTGGACAGAAATAAATCTTGACAAAAAAATGTTAATAACATTGTAAGGGAGACAATACCAGGGAGTCAAAATATTGTCCATACTTAAGGGTTGGCTGTTTTTAATTGCTTAAAAGCACATCATAAATTTAAAACTTAATTCATTATCAGAAACCAAATACTGGTTATAATTTAGCAAACAGTGATCCTAAAATAAAAAGAGAGAGCATGAATTTATGAAATCATTTGATTGACTTGGTTGAGGGAACTGGTTTTGTGGTCAGCTGGGTTAGCTCTTGATTCATAGGCTGTGATGGTCACTTCATGGTGATGTGCCTGGTTAAACAACATTTACAATTGGTAGTTAAATACTTTATATCAACATGAAAGTTATAAAATTCATATTCATTTAGAAACAGAAAAAAACATTAATTATATTATTATGCTTTAAAGTTTGAATTCATTTTTTGAATTCTTTAAGAAAGAGTAATATTTTTGTTTGTAAATCTACTATCTACATATTGTTTTGATGATAACCTCAAGTGTTGTAGAAATATTTACAAAGGAAATTAATTTTCTACAAAAGTAAAGATTTATTGGAGACATTAAATGTGTTTGCTTTTACAAGAACTTCACATTTAAGTTGTGCTGTGTAATAACAGAAAATCAACTCAGAATTTTTATATTCATGAATTTGGTTTCACAGATAATGGCAAAATAATATTTGATATAATAGTTAATGAATTTTGATAAATATATTGATTAACCCATAGTACCAAATTGTTCAGTAAAGAATTTTTTTTCCATTGCAGGGGAGGTAATAACCTGCTATTTCTAATTTCTTAAGATTGAATAAGTTTGTATGAGATTTCTGTTTCAAGAAAATAAAATGCTGTAAAAGAAATAGGATAAAACTAACAACACACACCTCTGTGAAGTCCCCCTTGAGACCAATGTAAAACACTTCTGTCCTATCTGAATGGCCGTGATTACTCGGGAAATGTATGGACAAATGTTGAACATCACTGAACCTTGCCACTCTAAATACAAACAAAAATATATAAACATTTATACAGTGCAAAATGTATACAGTGCAAAAAAAACAACAACAAAGAAACTAAAAAACACAACTCAGGAATAAATAATTCAAGCAACTGAAACTAACTAAATAAAATGAAATCAATGTGATGCTTACATAGGTTTGTACTCAATACATCCCTCCTGATCTACATGTACATCAAATTCCTGATCAGGTTTAGCATGTGCATCTTCAAATGACATATTAGGCCTATTCTTAAACAGTCGCATTTTATTTGGGTGTGTCTCTTGCTCTCCTCCGATAATCAATAAACCTTTAAGTTTAACAGATCCCTGAAAACTAAAAAATTAGAAATTTGTTTTAGTTAAAACTGATTTATCCAAAGTTAACAATAAAAATATATAATGATTAACTACTCTAAAATAATAAACTTCATTTCAATCACTGAACAAAATGGCTAACAAGCCAGTCTTAACTAATTACTCACGGGATATTAAAGAGTAGCTCTTCATCTACATCACTTGCAACAAACTAAAGAAACAAGAATGGAAAAATGTTACTTTAAAATTCAGGTCTGGTAATCTAACCATGCTAGATTTACCACAAGCCAAGGGTTTAATTTAACTTTAAAAGTTTTTTGTTTATTCTTTTTTAGAAAAAGCTTTTAATTTGTAACTATTAGTTATGGAAATAAAATTATATGATCAATATTGGGTCTATTTGTAACAATCGCTTATAATGAAAAAATTGTTCAGTCTGTTTATCAACGCTATAAAATATACTTTTCAATACAGTACATTATTTAACAATAAAACTAACGTACCTTTGACTGATCCAGCCTTTCTTCAAATGCTCGGAAAACCAACTTCCCAGAACCATCTTCTGTTTCATTAAGACATGTTAGATCATCCATTCTGATCTTCAGATATAAATTAAATTCTTGAGCCTTTAGGTTTTCAGCATCACTTGCATCTGAAGGGCCATGACTGTGTCCATGCCCTCCAGAACCTCCTCCTCCGTGACTATGATTGCTATCATTGTGGCTGTGACCATGGCAACAACTAGCCATGATTGTTATAACTTGTGTATCAAGTATTTTTTATTCAGGAGCTATAGAATAAAAGTCAAATTTAAGACAGGCGTTACAGTAATAAAATATAAACTATACAAAAAAGTGTATGCATGTTATATAGTTTTAAAACATTAAATCAAACAAAACAAAATTTAACTAGGGAGACCTAGTCTGGTGTAATATCTGCTTAGATTATCTTCTTCTCTTCTTCTTAATTTAGTATATGATGGAGGATTTAAACAACAAGCCCAACTTCATGTATGAACTGGGATGTGGTCTCCAGATCAGCGGGTGCCCCATATAGTTTTTTGTTTAGATTATAATTTCTCTTAGTTAAGTTAGGGCAAAAGCAGGAAAATTGCCAGTGTCAAATTAATTATATAATAAAAAATGATAAAAATATAATTTAGTGATGAGTTTGCTATGAGTTAATATTTAGCTATCTCTATGCAAAAAGCCCACCAGTTGGTTGAGGCCAGGCCGATTACTGCTCTACTAGAGATTTAAAGGATCCACTCAAAATATTGACCAGTTTAATAATATAACTACTACTGATATTAGTTAGTCTTGTAGTAAGTTAGTTAACTGACCATTGACTAGAGTTTCACTGTAGAGTCCCGTAAAGTCTACAAGTGTCTCTGTGTACAACTGTACTACTTAACTGACTTTACAGTAGTTTAGTACTACTACACTATAACTCAGGGGTTCCCAACCCTGTGCCCGCGGACGCAATGGCGCCCGCCGAACAATTCGTATGTGCCCTCCTCTCACTATTCGACAGAGACAGAATTTTTTTCATAAACATTATTGAAAGGTTGAAGGGGATGGAAATCGAAAGTTTGAGGGGGGGGGGTGCAAATCGAATGTTTGAGGGAGGGGTGCAAATAGAAAGTTTTGTCCCCGGGTGACGGGGAGGGTCGCTACGCCTCTGGAAGGAGTTTGTCGATTTAAAATAGGTGGTGCCTGCCACCCTACAGATATTTCAGAATGTGCTCTAGAGTAAAAAAAAGGTTGGGAACCCCTGCTATAACTATTACTAGACCTAGATTATATATTTTATATTAATATATTATAATTAGGGCCTAGTGTAATTACTAATTAGGCCTACTATAATATAACTATCATTAGGCCAATCCCAATACGTTAGGCCTACTAAATTACTAGATCTACACTTCACTAAGTACACTTTACTACTGAGAGTATTGACAATATTTATATTGATATTGTCAATATAAAAAATAGATTACCGATGTTTTATATTCTAACCTCTAAGTCAAGTCAGGCTAATAAATAAAGTCTGCTGAGTGAGAGTTGAGAACTTGAGTGACAAGTAAGTAGTTTTTATGAATTCATAATCACTCATCAGTCAATTGAACTGCAAAGGGGGAAATTGTAGCCTTTAAAGAATATGAAATTAGGCCTTTTAAATTATAAACTAGAACCTTGTCTGTAAGATAAGATTTCGTAAAATTTGTAAAATGTTTAGTGTAGTAAGTCTGCTGGTTATAAACAAGTCAGATAAAAAGTACAAGAATAGGTCTAATTTTAATTTAGAAAAAGTGCCAAAATTTGGTCAAAGATTCCGCTCCCCTATATATTAAAACCCAAGTTGAATCTCCAGCCGACATATTGTCTGGAATAAAATCATATGTATTGGATACAAATAGATCTACATATTTCAGCATTTTCTTAACTTTATGCCAAAATTAATGCAATAGATAGATCAAATTACTTCGCATCTAGATACATCATATATGGCAACCCAGAAACCGAAGCAAGAAAAGAGCACTCTAACAAAATTTTGTATCGGTGGCAAGTAAATGTAAACTTCACTGTTAGATTGTTAGATCTGTCAAGAATCTACATCTAGTAGCCACAGTTGTACAGTAGGAGGCATATACTACAGAGTTTGTGTAGCTTATTAAACCAGTTGAAAACAAATCGTAAAATTCGTCTTGGTAAAATCTTAGTTTAGCGTCGTAAATTCGGCCAAAACTAGTAATGAAGGAGAGAGTGAATTAATGAATAGGTAATCTATCGTTTTGGGTACGTAAAATCGCCAGCAGCTATTAATGTACGAAAACGTTACCTCATTGTCAAGGCTTTAATAGAAGTTTATTGTGATACGTTTGTGTCAAATATTATAGATAAATGGATAATAAACCTAAATCAATGGCTAAATATATCAATATAGGCCAGAAATTAACTTTAAACAGCAGTGTCTGCAAGCAAGATTTGCTATATAAACAGCAGCCATTTGTAAAATAGAGTGACTTCCGCCTGAATCTCGCGCTATTAGTCTATAAAAAAAAACTTTAACAAGATGGCTGCTATAGTAAATGAGCATGGTTGCATCTGTTGGAAACATGGCTGGTGTTCATTTATTACTGAAAAGTTTCAATTCAGTTGTTTAAAAACAGGTACATAGGCCTAAATGAAACAAGGAAACATTTTTGTATTTTTCAAAACATAAATCCTCCTCAAAATGTGAAATAATTATTAAAATGTAAGGAGTCACCTGTTTTTCACATTACTAGTTGCAGGGGATTTTACGTACCTAAAACGATAGATTACCAATGAATATGTCATTAAATATTAGAGAGGCTCACTAAATCTTAATTTTAATTATTTATTTTTTTAACCAATACCAATAAAAGCTAGAGATATTTCTCTAACTAACCAGGCACTACATTTGATGATTTTAGCTCATTTTGAACTAAAATACATGATTTTAATTATTGGTGCCATACAGCTTAGCTGGGAAAGATTTTTCCATGACAACCATTCAAAGATCTGGTTCCTAAAGTTGACCTGAAAACGACCAAGGAGGTTCGTAAGGATCATGTGTGGGGAGGGGGAAGTGGAGGTATGCTGCAATAAAACGAAATCGAAAGGATACTCGTAACTTGGTTATGTAATCAATTTACTGTATTTCTAGTAAACGCCAAAGGAATGAACCAAAAAAAATCACGTATAAATGTTTAAAAATATATAGACTAGATCTAAACTTTTTAAAGGTATTCATTTTCACTTTTATTCAGTCTTGATTAATCAGTGTAAATAGGAATGTTTAATTAGACAATTAGGCCTAATAATAATAGATTGAGTTAACGGCGGAATCTAACCCTCCTCCCTTATCCAGCATGGAAGCTTTGTCCAGGCTGAGTTTTAAATATTAAAAAAAAGTAGATCTATATAGACATAATAAAATATCTGTTTTTATTTTTAAAACTGTCGTTGCATTAAATTTCATCACATGTGAGCGAGAAATGCATTCCAAACATCGCCACTCATAGGCTGTGCGTAGTGACGGCTCGCTCGCGTTGTTTTGTCAACGAGAGAAACATCGCCCGTCCGAAGCTAGACATATCCAGGCGGAGTTTTAATACTTAAATTTGTATCTAGAGCTGGTGTCTAGATCTATTTAAAGATTGTTAGGCTACGCCTATCACATTAACGTTGATCACTTGTGAGTGAAAAATTATGCAAATTCGTCACGAGCCCGCTTGCGTTCTTTCGTCACGCGAGCGTGTGCGCAAGTCCAAGTACTGTGTCAACTAGATCTAGATCAACTTTTGTTTATGCAGGCTGTCCTCTAATATGATTATTATAATTTATTAGCCTAGTCCTTCTGGATCTAAATCATAATAATCAATTATATAAAAAATGAAAGCAAATGAAAATAATATTAACTATAATTCGATCAAGTCGTAATTAGTAATAATAAAATCAAGTAAATAATTTAGCACCTAGACTTTACTAGACGTATCGAGATCGCGTTTCACCACGAGATCACCGGTTTACGGGCTTTTACAGAAATACCAACTAATTCCTATCTTCCCATGTTCAGATCGAAATACTTAATTAATTTGTCCAGCAATGTAAAAATCAAAATTGGAAAATATTCACTTAACGCTTGTCAACATAAATAACAACACAAACGTAGTAAAGAGTCGATAGAGCCACCTAGGCAAACGTCTCCCGCCCAATAGCGGTCACGTGGGTTATGGAATTTTTACTTTTGGTGGTGACCGTTTTGGAGAATTTTTTAAAAAATTAGCGCATGTAATATTCGATTTATTTTTACACAGACTGCTAAATCTAATATTGATGTACTTTCGGTTTCCGATCTACATCGTAGAAGCTAATATTTAAAAAGATCTACGAATGTTTGTCGGCACCACTTTTTGAGCTTCGGTCTTCATTATCCAAAGCAATTTATAGCGTTTCTCTGGCATATTTAGCACTGCCATTTATAGTTTGTTTACATTATGTGAAAAAACCGCCATTTTTCACGAGGTAAACATTTTAAAAACGAATTCCTAGAAAGTCACTTGGGCAGACAAGAAAAATGTCCGAAACTAAGCGTCCGGTGTAGGACGCCATGTTGTTGTTAGCAACCATAGACGCTTTCAAGTTAGTGAGCCTCGCTATTAAATATGAGTATATTTTCGTATATTTTGATAAAGTATTATAGATAATTGAATAATAGATCACCATTGATGGTTAAATCAATTTAAATATCCTGAAATTAATGTTTATCAACCCTGTTCGAGATAGTAAATTTGCTATTAAAAACAGCAGCCATCTTAAGAAAATGTTATTTAGAGTAGCTTCCCTTTCATTTCTATTCGTATGAAAATGTATTTAAATATGATTGTCTTGTTGTATAGTCCGTATTACAAAGCATTTTTTTTTTAGTTCTGCTCTTTAAAAACTGAATTTCCTAACAAAAAACTTTATTAATTCTAGAAGCATTGTGAGATGCAACTTGTATCAATGTATTAAATCACGTTTTTTTTACTAATTTTTATTTGATCTTACTATTACTAGATCTATATAGATCTAGTTTGAGTTTTTTTTTTATTGTTTGAATGTTCACTATTTTCATTTCAGGTTTTTCTTTTCATCAATTAGTGATTCTTTCGTAACTTATGAAATTTTTTTACTTCTCTTTACCTTAATTAAACCCCAACCTCCATCATATTTTTGTTGTCAATGTCACAACAAGTCATAATGTAAAAAATTACGCTTCACTCTGCCTTATCTAAGATCTCTAACCATAATTCTGACAACATTAAATGTTTGTCATCATTTATATATACAGAGAGACAAAATGTATTATCCACCAGCTTCCCTCGTAAAACATCATCTAAAACAACGAGTTAGTCCACCCCTTAAGTGCATGTTGTCATTTATGGTCGATCGCAAGTCTCCACCTGCTAGACACATTTTGGTTATCCTTTGTTGTCAAAATGTCAATATCAAGTATCCAAGTGAGTGATATGGGGTTGTCCATAAATGATGTCACATATGATTTGCTACGGGAGTGAGTGAAGATTTGTGACGTCAACTCAGGCGGCTTTGCAATTTATGACGTGTCTGCCTCATGAAAGGAGGTGAACGGGGAAAAATACCTAGATGGTTGATGGAGAACCTCTATAATGCTTTGTTCAATCAAAATAACGATAAATAAGCATTAGTATACGTATACCTTGCTTAAAACGAATCATCACAAATGTTGCAAGCCTGATAGTTTAAGACATTTGGCAAAACGGCCTCAACACATTATCCCCGTCAAAAAGGCTTGCCACCAAATGCCTGCCGACGAATAAGCCGCGTCTAATGCTGGGCGTTAGGAATACGGCCATTAGCATGGGCCGCGTTAGAGCACCAGTAGGCTATTGCGCTTTGTAAGATGACGTAGATACTTAAATTCAATTTCGCTAAACTGCGCGAAAATTTAGTAATGCTGTTTTGAGGAAATGAGGAAATTTATTTTCTTGGACTTAAATTGAAATATGTTGACTGTCTGGCTCTTAATTTCCGAATATCACTTTTAATGTATCAAGATTCAGAACTATAATTTACTTTAATATAAGTGTCATCTTATCTTTTATTGTGCTTTTTATAAAGTGCAGAGCAGCTTCAAAATCGGACGGCCATCCTGTTTTCACCACGCTTCTTTTGGAGCTTAATATGGGTAGTCTAGTTCTATACGGTGGGAGCTTAATACATTTTTAAAGGGCCGAAAGTCTCAAGACAGCAAGCTTGCAGAAATAACCACGTACGTTTAAATGGACGAGTGATAGATGTGTTAGGGGCTGTTTAATGAACACCAACTTATGTAATCAAATTAAACGTCGCATAAGCGTCAAAGCGGCAGTGCTTTTTGTTTTTTTTTTTCTATAAAATTAGCCTAACGGTCGGCGGTACCGGTACATGACGTCACGTGCGAGCGTTAACTCGGTGACGATGTGCTAAGTGGGGGAATGAAAAAGGTGGGGTTCAAGAAATGCGACTCGGCAAGCGTTTTACATTTCTTGACCCTTCTTAATAGTTCTTTTGTCCCCACTGAGAAAATGGATCACCAATGAATGACGCGTCATACTTCTATAGCTGGTCTTTCTCCCACAACCATCCCGTTTTCACGAAAAAAAAAAACAAAACTGACCCGTCTCCAAAATCACATCGCTGAGTTCTATTCAACCTCTCCCCACCACAAATCACAATTTCTATCTGAAACAATATGTTCATATGTTTGCTCTGTAATAATGCACGCTGTCATTACTATCTTAAGAGCGACGTCATTTATGAGCGATCTAATATTGATTTGCTTACTGCAAATAAAGTGTTCAAAAGTTCGACCTCCCAACAATTGTTTTGGTCTTGGATGCACACTATTAAGTCTGATAAGGTCTATTAGTCATTCATGTCAACTATATTAAAAAAAGAAAAATTTCTATACAGGGGGTCATCCATAAATGATGTCACGCTTTTTTTTGACGATTTTTACCTCTCCCCCCCCCCTCCCCTCCGTCACACGTCGTCACAAAAAGCCAGACCCCCCCCCCTAAAATGACGTCACACCTCAGCCTACAACCCCCCCCTCAAAATTGCAGTTGAATTGTTTTTAAACAGCTATATTTTTCCAAAATCTTGTCTGAACTCTGTCAAAATAGAGTATTTTAATCAATTGTTATTACAATGTATTAAAACAGTTTTTTAAAAACGCAAAATAACGTCTAAAATTCGTTTTCTAACATAGCTTTTTTAAAATGCAAAAGTGTGACGTCGCACCTTCTGAACCCCCCCACCCCCTCCCCCTCATCACACAACGTCACAAAATTACGGACCCCCCCTCCCCCCTACGAGTGTGACGTCATTTATGGACGACCCCCGGCATATATTAAAGCAATACAAAACAATCATATTAAACCACAAAATCAACACAAAAGACATGCGAATAGACAATTTATTGTTTTTAAAACATGGCCGCTGCTTGTATTTCCTCATTGTTGTCTCGAACGGAGTAGTTTAAAGTTTATTCCAGGATATTTATGACTGGTTTGGTCTTGGATTGTTATTTGTTATTCAATTATCTGTTATATTATGTAAAATATGACATAAATTTGGCCAAATGAAAGAAATATTCATTAGTTACCTTCATCGCACATTACTAGCTACGTTGGAATTTACGACGCTAAACTAAGATTTTACCTTCGTCTTGCCTTTCAAAAAAAAAAAAGATAAAGACTGACTGTAGCAGTTTTAAAGCCGACTAACGGCTAACGTCTAACGCGCTGAAGCCATCTGATTTCGGCATTTAATTTTATCTTAATGTCGTTAGGTAGGGCCTAATGATTCAGATTTATTTAATATTTAAACTTTTTTTTATTTATTCATTTATTCAATAACGGTTACAATAGTAGGCACGGAGACCTTTTCTCCCATTGGCCGTTTTGAAATAAACAAATAAAACAACAATTTAATAACAGCATTTAAAAAAGCAATTGCGTAATAAAGACATAGCATTAGCAAGCACAAAAAATAAAAAAAGACTGCTGAAAAATTGCCAAAAATTAATAAGTTATATAGATAATATTTTATATAGTATTGTATAGGCTAGGCCTATATAATATATATTAAATAATATTATAATACAGTACTCTAGAGCCTTAGGGGTAGTCCATAAATGACATCACACTCATAGGGGGGAGGGGGGGTCCGTATTTTTGTGACGGTGTGTGATCAGGGGGAGGAGGGGGAGGTTCAGATGGTGTGACGTCACTTTTTGCATTTAAAAAAAGCAAGGTTAGAAAACTAGTTTTAGCCGTTATTTCGCGTTTTAGAAAATGGTTTTAATAAAATGTAATAGGAATTGATCAAAATACTCTTATGTTGACAGAGTTCAGACAAGATTTTGGAAAAGTATCGATGTTTTAAGAAAAATTCAACATCTATTTTGAGGGGGGTTGTAGGCTGAGGTGTGACATTATTTTAGGGGGTGGGGGGACTGGCTTTTTGTGACGACGTGTGATGGAGGGGAGTGGGGAGGTAATCATAAAAAAAAGCATGATGTCATTTAACGATGACCCCCTTAGACCTATTGATAGATCTACTAGTAGGCTACAATCTGAATCATTATTCTGATTATGCCTTGTGAATGTGTATATCTAGATCTGTATATGAATTTATGATGGTACAATCCTAGGTGGGGTGGGGGTAGGGTGATGAGTGGAAGGGATTTCAGAAAGTGTGATGACACATTTGTATTTTAAAAACTATTATTATAAAAATGATAATTTTGCTGTTTTTTTTTCTTATTTTTAAAAGGCTGTCTTTGTAAATTGTAATAAAAATGTATTAATACACACAATGTTGATCGAGCTTAGAATATATTTTAGAAATAAATTAATGTTTTAAAAAACAAAAAAACTGCCATGAGAGGGTTGTAGTCCAAGGCGTGACATCATTTTAGGGGTGGGGTCTGATATTTTGTCATAGTCAAGTGTAGATCTAGTGTGTTGATAAGGGAGTGTTTGTGTGTGTGTGGGGGGGGGGGGAAATTAAGATTGAAAATCATTTCAAATGTGTGATGTCAATATATTGACTAACTTGGAAAATAATTTTTTATAATTTATCTCTAAAAGAAATAAGTATTGATTTCTGGTAAAAATTAGTTGCTAGGCCTATGGTATTAATGATTAATTATTTTTGGACTAGGCATTAAGAGTTAGATGTATGTTACATTTTCTCGCCATAAGATGCTTGGAACTGCATTTCAAATGGACACTATCTTTTTACATATAGTCTTTGTTAGAGAACATAAAAAAGATTTTATTTTCAGGTGGTTGATGAAAGTTTGTTATAACTGCAATGGAAGTTCTGCCAAAAGATGCCCCCAGTAAAGAGTTTGATTCTGATGGTTATCAAGTAATAGATGGAAGTGTATTAGAAGGTGTATGTACATATTTCTATATTTTAGTTTAGACCCTTTCAGAATAATAAAAGCGAGAGTTCATGTTTGTTGCTTATAAGATGCAAAATTACAATCTAAGAAAAGCAAGGAATAATGTAGGTCTATAATAAAAAAATTATACACCTGGTGAAAAATTGCTTGATGACAGTTATATGGTTCCTAGGTTGTTTCAGTGGTATTGCTGCTAAGACTAAGGATAGGTCAGGGCAGCTACACTAGAAAAAAATTGTGATTGAATATGTGCTCTGTATATAAATAAAAAGTATTAGCCATTAAGCCTACTCTTACTAAAATTCCATTAATATCCTGGCATACTAATAAACCTTGTTTCACAATTTCTATTACTGATTATATTATTACTATTTATATTTTCATATATATTGAAAAAACTCCTTAATATTCTGACTAAAGAGAATATTCATTGAAACAAAATCATTAAATAATATTCATAGTGAATCGATATACTACTGAATATTTAATGAGGATGACATAAGAAAAAAATGTTTCATCTAATTTTTATCACAGTTTATACTTAAATCACTTTCTATTTTTTGTTGACAGGGTGGCCAAATCTTAAGAAACGCTGCAGCTTTGTCCTGCATTTTGGGAATCCCCATTAGAGTTAAAAATATACGAGCTGGACGAGACAAACCTGGTTTAAGGTTATGTATTTTATTTTATATTTCTGCAAATGAGGGCTTTTATGTTAGGCCTATAGTATGCGAATTTTAAAAAATATATGAAGATGTTGTTTAATAGCTGTAATAAGTAATTTTTTGTACAGACCACAACATCTATCAGGGTTGAGTTTAATTGCCAACTTGTGTGGAGGTAGACTGGAGAATGGTTCTGTTGGTTCCTGTGAGATAACACTCAAGCCTGGTCCAATTGGAGCTGGTCAGTTTATTGCTGACACTAAAACTGCAGGGTATGTAGATCATCAATCCCTGCTTTTTAGATTAATTGAAATCATATGTAACAAGTCATGCCTGTTATACAGCTATGTTCCAATACTAATTTTGCTATAGGCCTTATAATTTTAATTTTTATTTATTGATTCATTGATGAAATAAACATTTAAACTTTCTTACCATTAACAAATTATGTATCCTTTAACATTATCTGTCCTTTTCATTGTCCCCATGTCTTATTTTCATGCTAAGACTATATTTTTTAATGCATGATCATTTAAATTTTTTTCAAAAAAGATTATTTTAAAACTTTTGTAATGAAGAATTACAAGTTCTGTTTCTAAAGGCTGTTTAAGTTTCTGATGAGATTCGCCTGTTTGCCTTACATTAAGGTATTTAATTCAAACAGGAGTATCTGTCTGTTGATGCAAGCAGCCGTGCCTTGTTTACTCTTCTCCCCAGGCCCCTGCACGCTGGTACTTAAGGGTGGTACAAACTGTGATATGGCCCCACAGATTGACTATACCACATTGGTAATCAACACTTTTTTACCTGTTTGTTGTCAAATACGGCCTATGTCCCAGGAGGGACAACAGGCAAACCTAACCTAACTACATTTAAAACAGTTTTTTTAATTCATGATGAATAAAACAATTTTTTTTCTGACAGATATTTAAACCTATTGCTGAAAGGTTTGGAATGCATTTTGATGTTGATATAAAGCGAAGGTAATAAAAAATAATGAAAGACAGATTTTTTTTCACAAAATGTATAGTTTTAAGTAATGGGATGAAAGATAAGTTCTTTATTAACTGCGTAAGGGCAAACTTATTCAAACTTATATAAACTAGTTATAAGTTAGGTTTAAATTAAAAATAAAATATAAAAAACACTATTTCCGTTATAAAACATCATATAATGTTAAAAATATCCTTCAGTAATCACTATCAGTATTTTAATGAATACTTATTTTTATAACTAGTTATGCTGAATCCATCTCCATCAATGGGGGGGGGGGGGGGGGGGTTCTAACATTTAGTTAAACTGATTATGCTTGTTTTGAATGCACATCAATTTCAGAGAAAAGAATTAGTAATGCAATTTTATTTTATTTTTCCCTTTCACAAAATTTGAATTAGATCAGTTTTAGAAGATTTAGTGAGACAACTTTATACAGCTATTAATCTGGTCATTTATTATTTCAATAACACTTAAGTGTTTTATTTCAGGGGATATTACCCTAAGGGTGGAGGAGAAGTTGAAGTGAAATCCCAGCCTGTAAAATATCTTGTTGGTGTCAGTGACAGTCTCACCCAACGGGGAGAACTTGTACTTATCAACAGCCGATCATTTGTTGCTGGCAATCTTCCAGCCCACGTAAGGCACCAATTTATTCCATGTTCAAACATACTTCATTTGGTCAGCATTTTTATTTACTGTTTGGGTAGGAGTTATCTGTTTAATAGTATATTACAAAAGGAGTAGTATAGTATAGTATATTACAGGAGTAATCTGTTTATTGATATAACATTGGGCAACTCTTGACTGATGACTTTGGTGCACAAGGAGTCAGTTTTATTTTTAAAATGTCTAGGAGAAAACAGAACATCTAAACTACTTATACAATTTTGTCTAGAAATCAAAACTACCACATCATTTTGTCTAGACATCTTAAAGAGGCCCCACTGAATTGTAAACCATACACTACATTCTGTAATGGTTAAATGATAACAGCATTGTCACCATGAAACTGCAAAAATAGCTTTACAAAAATATTTTCAAAATCATTAAGAAATTAGTAAATTACTGTACTATTTAAAATCTTGACTGATTGTTTGTTAAACCTCATGATTTTTGGTAGAAGGATCTAATCAACATTTTTTATATGTGCCAGTTAAAATAGAAAGAATATTACATTAAATTTTTTTCTGATATTTAATTGAATAACAAAATTGTGTTTATTTACAGCTCTCCAACAAAGTATCTCAAAGTATCAGCAGGTCACTGAAACAGAATTTTCCCAAAGTTGAGTTAAAACAGCAAAGCTTAAAAGAACCTGACGGTGCAGCTATAGGATCTGGCCTAGGAACAATGTAAGTGTACCTTGGTTGTCGCAGCAAGATCAGCTTTTTTTTTCCCTTTTATTCTCTAGATTTATTAACTGCTAAAACTGATTAGCTGTATTTTAGTGTGATTTTGTTTTTCCAGTTTTGTTAACAGTTACATTACATAATGGTATTATGTGAAGAAAAGTTATGGTATTATTTTGTTACATCACCTGTAGTAAGCAATGGAACCTCTCAGTGTCAGGCAAAATGTTCTCATACAGATTTAAGCCATTAGACAACTCAAGAGTAAACTTTTGAGTCTTTTCTTCACTTAAGTGTCAAAATAAAAACTCTCTGTGCTATGGAATGTATAAGAACACAGTTCTGGTTTGTTTGCATTATTTGGTGCATGATTGCTTACATAGGTCTGTTGCTCAAATCATGGTAAAATCTGTGCTTGCTACAAAATTTATTTAAAAACTATGCTCATGTGAGCATATAAACTTAACTGCTCCATCAAGGGTCAGGTAATGAAAGGAAAATTGATTTACATCCATGCTAGGATTTGTTTGTTCAAATCCACTAAAAATTAAAATATTGTATTATGCTATTTTTAAAATTTATTAGCCATTACATTATTTTAATTTCTGTAAGTGTAATAATTCCTTTGATTATATTTTAGAATAGTTGCAGAAACAAGTACTGGCTGTCTGTTTGGTGGATCTGCATTAGGAAAACCCAGTATGTTAGAATATGTTTTAAATTTGTTTCTTCTGCAGTTTGTTATTTAAAAATTTCATTTTTTGTAATTTAAAAAGGACAAAGCCTGTTTCATTGATTTTAAGGTTAATTTAATGATCTTGCTTGAACTGTTCATTTTTCTTTAAATATTCTACAACACAAATAATAAATTAGACTTTTTGTTGAACAAACACTTTTCAGAGTGAATTAACATGGTAGTAGTATTGTAGTAGCACCTAATTAGCTGACCAGTACAAAGTAATGTATCCTTTAAATCACTTTATTGAAAAACTTCCTAGGGTCTCCAGCTGAAGAAACTGGTGAAGCAGCTGCAAGGGAGATAATTGAAGCTCTTCACAGTGGAGGTTGTGTTGATCAGTATTTACAAGATCAAGTATGTTTTTCTTTTCAAAAAACATTTTGTTATAGAAAACATTTTTATAATCATACATTAGAAAAACTAAATTTCATGTACTTTTCCTTCTTGATTTATATTAGCTTAACAAAGTGATTCATTGATACTTCACCAACAATTAATTTCTTGAACTTTTTGTTTCAGCTGATTTTACTTATGACATTAGCCAAAGGAACAACAAAATTGTTGTGTGGACCATTGACACTACACACAAAAACAGCTATACATGTAGCTCGTTTAATGACTAAAGTAAGTTTTTTTAATTGTCCTCACCTTTACCCTGATTGTAATTAATTTTCATTTTTAAAAATGTGTGAATATCTCAGTTAATTCTTAACAATAAATTAAAAAGATATTTTATGTATAAATGTCTCAACACTCCTGTGCCTGTTAAAGAAGTAATTTTGTTTTCAACATTTTTCATTCATAGGCTGAATTTACAGTAGAGAATCTAGAACAGAATAAATTCTTGATTACCTGTGAAGGTATTGGTCATCTCAACACACACCTGACTGAAGCTTAGTTTGTTGTTTTTACTTTAGACTCTGATTGTTGGATAAATAAAATTTTATCATTGTGAATCTAAACCTCTCTTGAAATGATGCATCTGTTTTCGTGTGAACTATGAATGTAAAAAATTTACCTCTTTTAATTTAATAGTTAATGCTTAGACTTTTGTAATTTATTATTACAAATCTACAACTTTATTGCAAGTTAGGGTTCCCAAATGTTTTACATGTCAATAGTAAACTTAAATTTCTATGTGATAGTATATTAACACCTCAACAGTTAGATTTAATTTGAACAATGTTTTTACAGTAAGTAATGTAAACCTAATTTATTTACTGTATAACATATTCACAAATAAAATACTGTAAAACTTTTACATACAAACTTATGGTATAAAGACTAGTAACTGTAATTACATCTTTTGACTATCAACTGCATGTATCTATGTTTGCAACTACTTTTAATCACACCTATAGAATAGAGTAAGGGTTATGTGACAAGTAGGCAAATGCTAAGTCAGGGACAAATAACACGAAGATTACCAGCTATAAAGTAGTCTGGAGATGAAAACAGAACAACAGATTTAGGAGTGACTGATTTTAAATTTAAAAACAACTACTATAATTTTACATAAAGGGATATTTTCCATAGCAAAATCAACAACAAGGTTGTCTTGCTGAGTTTGCCCCCCCCCCCCCCCCCCCACATGGCAATCGCCCAGTTGACATTGTACTCCACACTGTACTTAACATAGGAGATTCTAACAATACACAACAGTAGTGTAACATCTGCTGCTGATAGACTAGCTGATGCTGCACCTCACTGATGGCCTCAATAACTCGGGCATCCGTTGTCAGAAATGTCAATCAGATTACCCTAATTTCTACATGCTTTATGCTTGGATAAAAATACATTGAAAAATGCATATTTTTTTCAAAAATAACTCCATACATTTCAGCATGTATGCAAACAGCTGGCTCAGACAGACTCTTATTGATCTGATTTAGTGGAATGTGGGGCAGAAGTTACAATAAATTGTTGTAGTTATTTGAACCTTTTCACCTAGTCAAACATTGTAAAAAAAACCACACATTTTATTACTGATGTAGGTAGATGCACTCATTTTCCTGGAGATTTCTCAATTAATTTGGTGCATTTTTTTTTACATTTTTATTGCTATTAAAAAGATACTACCAAGCTAAATTATCAAACGATATATGAGCCTATAGGATTCATATTGGAAATTATATACATTTATTTTAAATTTTGTTTCAATGAGCATTGGACTCCGATCCCCCCCCCCTCCCTTTCCGTTTGCGAGTGTGACGTCGTTTATTGACTACCCCTTGTAGCCTTGTCCGTCTGTACAGCCCAGGACTCATCACTCTGTGAGTACAAAGTAGACAAAAAGAAGCATAGACTTGCTGGTGTGTCAAGCATAAACCGTTACGAGGGAGAAAAAACAAATCCTTGGCGCCCCAGTCTCCTACTGTATTATTTATTATGTAATTCAATCAATTTATCCTGTCTGAGAAGGGGGAGTTATGTTGAACTAAATAAGCTTAACAGTTGTTTATATGGTAAAAGACCAAGCACAGCTAGAAGAGTTTTTTTTTCAAAAGTGATCTAGGCCTATGATGTTAATCCCCTCAGACACTGACATAGCCCTTTTCACACAACCGGATCATAGAGTTGGCCAGATCAGTATGCGAGGACCGAAGCAAAAGCTTTAGCAAGCTTAGGTGAGTATTATTTTTGTTGGCTGCTTCATAAAACGTTGATCTACACTCTATAAAAAGCAGACTGTTTAACCAATAAATTGATATCCTTGGAACAAATTATTCGTTGCTGTTAGAATGTACCGCACAACATTGAAAGCTACATTACTTGAGTTTTACTAAAGCTGAACATTAACTTGGTCGTGCTGTTGTAGAGCTTACGTTTTTGTTCTGAAAGTGTATCGGTTGAGTGAAAGCCTCAAGTTAATTTTAGGATAGTGCACTAGACATTTTGGTTGTTATTGCAATAAATGCCTATTTAGTAGATTAGTAATTTTCTCGCTTTTGCATGGACCAAACCAGAAAAAATTCAGAAAAATACCATCTTCCTGTTTCCTGTCTGGATACCACTGAGGAATTCAAATTTCAGCATAGCCTAGGCCTATGTTTTGAAGCTTTTAAGGGCACCTTCTCCCTCCCCCCACCAGAGCACATATATATAATATAATCAAAATAGAAAAAAAAATGTCCTCGCTCACCCCTTCCCCCTCACCTAACTCAAAGAAACACTGACACCCTGACATACTGGTACTTAGATTTAAGCTAACAATCCAAGGTTTCATATCCAACAATATCTTTAAAGCAAATCTTCTTTTAAAAATGAAGAAAAAGATATTGCCTTTTCCACCTCGTAAACTTATAGCAACTGAGAAAGCCCGAATAGGCTACTAAAAATGTTCACGATAGAACGGTGGATTTCAACCAAATCAACCAGACTCTACAAACAGAAGATATTAAGTTAAAGGGCCATTAATAGCTGGAGATATGAGCAGGTAGACTAATTAAAAAATAGATTAGATCTTGCACGGACGATCTTGCAACGCCCCGAGTCATAAACGAAAGACAATAGAAGGTCTACATCAGGGGTTCCCAACCCCGTGCCCGCGGGCGCCATGGCGCCCGCCGAACGATTTGTATGTGCCCGCCTCTCACTATTCGACAGAGACAGAATTTTTTTCATAAACATTATTGAAAGGTTGAAGGGGATGGAAATCAAAAGTTTAAGGGGGGGGGGGGGTGGTGCAAATCGAAAATTTGAGAGGGGGGGTGCAAATCGAAAATTTGAGGGGGGGGGGGAGGTGCAAATCGAAAGATTGAGGAGGGGGGGTGCAAATCGAAAGTTTTGTCCCGGGTGACGGGAAGGGTCGCTACGCCTCTGGAAGGAGTTTGTCGATTTAAAATAGGTGGTGCCCGCCACCCTACCGATATTTTAGAATGTGCTCTAGAGTAAAAAAAGGTTGGGAACCCCTGGTCTACATTATTAAACTTATTCGTCTTCTTTAAAAAAAATTAATAATCCATAGCTTACGTGCGGACATAGTTTGGACGGGTCTCCGACATACTGGCTATCAACAAAAGAGCTAGAAAGTTTAGTAAACCTCATATTACCTCACATCACAGCGTGATGTTGTACTGAGTTACTGACGAAGGACAATATACAGACAGCTTTCATATAATGAGAACGGTATCTATTTAAAGTACATTTCAAAAATAAAAACCGAATAAAACGTGTTTTTAAAAAGAGCAGTGATAGGCCTTTAAAGAGTAAAGTCATTAGCAGGTGGTAGGTTTCCCTAGGTAGGCTTGTTAGTATCAGCAGGTGGTAGGTTTCCCTAGGTAGGCTTGTTAGTATCAGCAGGTAGTATGTTTCCCTAGGTAGGCTTGTTAGTATCAGCAGGTGGTAGGTTTCACTAGGTAGGCTTGTTAGTATCAGCAGGTGGTAGGTTTCCCTAGGTAGGCTTGTTAGTATCAGCAGGTGGTAGATTTCCCTAGGTAGGCTTGTTAGTATCAGCAGGTGGTAGGTTTCCCTAGGTAGGCTTGTTAGTATCAGCAGGTGGTAGGTTTCCCTAGGTAGGCTTGTTAGTATCAGCAGGTGGTAGGTTTCCCTAGGTGGGCTTGTTAGTATCAGCAGGTGGTAGGTTTCCCTAGGTAGGCTTGTTAGTATCAGCAGGTGGTAGGTTTCCCTAGGTAGGCTTGTTAGTATCAGCAGGTGGTAGGTTTCCCTAGGTAGGCTTGTTAGTATCAGCAGGTGGTAGGTTTCCCTAGGTAGGCTTGTTAGTATCAGCAGGTGGTAGGTTTCCCTAGGTAGGCTTGTTAGTATCAGCAGGTGGTAGGTTTCCCTAGGTAGGCTTGTTAGTATCAGCAGGTGGTAGGTTTCCCTAGGTAGGCTTGTTAGTATCAGCAGGTGGTAGGTTTCCCTAGGTAGGCTTGTTAGTATCAGCAGGTGGTAGGTTTCCCTAGGTAGGCTTGTTAGTATCAGCAGGTGGTAGGTTTCCCTAGGTAGGCTTGTTAGTATCAGCAGGTGGTAGGTTTCCCTAGGTAGGCTTGTTAGTATCAGCAGGTGGTAGGTTTCCTTAGGTAGGCTTGTTAGTATCAGCAGGTGGTAGGTTTCCCTAGGTAGGCTTGTTAGTATCAGCAGGTGGTAGGTTTCCCTAGGTAGGCTTGTTAGTATCAGCAGGTGGTAGGTTTCACTAGGTAGGCTTGTTAGTGTCAGCAGGTGGTAGGTTTCCCTAGGTAGGCTTGTTAGTATCAGCAGGTGGTAGGTTTCCCTAGGTAGGCTTGTTAGTATCAGCAGGTGGTAGGTTTCCCTAGGTAGGCTTGTTAGTATCAGCAGGTGGTAGGTTTCCCTAGGTAGGCTTGTTAGTATCAGCAGGTGGTAGGTTTCCCTAGGTAGGCTTGTTAGTATCAGCAGGTGGTAGGTTTCCCTAGGTAGGCTTGTTAGTATCAGCAGGTGGTAGGTTTCCCTAGGTAGGCTTGTTAGTATCAGCAGGTGGTAGGTTTCCCTAGGTAGGCTTGTTAGTATCAGCAGGTGGTAGGTTTCCCTAGGTAGGCTTGTTAGTATCAGCAGGTGGTAGGTTTCCCTAGGTAGGCTTGTTAGTATCAGCAGGTGGTAGGTTTCCTTAGGTAGGCTTGTTAGTATCAGCAGGTGGTAGGTTTCCCTAGGTAGGCTTGTTAGTATCAGCAGGTGGTAGGTTTCCCTAGGTAGGCTTGTTAGTATCAGCAGGTATTGGTTGGAGATTGGACGTGATGGAACATACATGCACGCACCTGCACAAAGGTATCGGGAAAACTGAGGCCTGGAAAGTTTTGTAAGATTGAAGGTCATGTGATCAGTATGTGAAAAAAATTGTCAAGTTGAAGGTCGTGTGGTCAACATTTGAAAAAGTTTTGTAATGCTAAATGTCAGCTGATTAACATGTAAATATATGCAAGGTTGAATGTCATGTGACCAATATGTGACATATTCGTAATGCTGAATGTCATGCGATCAACATGTGACATATTCTTAATGCTAAATGCCATGCGATCGACATGTGCCATATTCGTAAT